TCTGGTGTAGTTACCTTCATAATTTTGTTAGCAGCATCCTTCTTCATGTTGCTAATACAAGGTCTACTGATGCCACCAGCCACAGTCAATCGAATGCCAGATCCGAGATCGTTCAGTCCATAGAATGGAGTGGTTCTGCTGGAGAAACTGCTACGGTTACAGTTGTATCTGCAGGATGGCGGGCTCGTTCTGTACCGGGTTGTCGTTTTCACCGTACATCATTGCTGCAATTGGAGCTGGATTCTGCAATCATCCTTGTTTATACAATTTGTTTTCAGTCCGTATCCTATTGCCATAGGGTTCCCAACAAACAATTTGTGCTTATTAAGGGCTGAATAAGCTATTTTTTAACTGAAGAAGCATATTTTTGTCTGAATAAGCTCTTAGTCCGCTTCCAATGTTTGTTGGGTTAATACGTAAGCAGGCCGATTCCGACCCAAAACATAAATCCTTCCGATTGTGCAACATTTTGTTATGATTGAGGATACTCTCGCTGGAAAATAAAAAAATAATAATCTTAGAAAAAATTTCCCCTTTTTAGGCTGGTGAATTTTCACTTATATTTGACAAATGGAAAATTTTCAAATAAACCTGCTATTGTACCAGACTTATTTCTTACAGACCAGGAATCAATTTTTCATAAACACCTTCTCGAAAATAGGAAGATCAACTACAGAGGGATTTTCAAACATCTTAATTTATTTAAATTAAATTTAAAATTAAAATTAAAATTTAAGTGAAAATTCACCAAATGGAACACAGCCTAAGACCACAAACGAAGTGACAGACGGAGCGGCTCAAAAACTTTGGTGACTAACCTGCTATTGCAATTTTTCAGTGTACCACATGGCAACACCACTACTACTGGATTGAACTAGCATTTTAACCAAATGTAGTAGAATGTTTTGGTTCTATCTCTTTCACTCTACTCAAAACTGAAATGCATAAAAAAATGACAAAATGATACGCACTCTTTGCACACTGTCAAAGAATCATTGTACACAAAATCAACTTTGTGCAAAACCAAAACAAAAATACTATCCCATATGGTGGATGATGGCAGAAGCTTCTAAGAAAATTCTATTACAGTGAACCACATTATTTTATTTGATTTCTTCGCCAGTTAGTCGTCTGTCACTTCGTTTGTGCTAAGACCAGGAGGTCCCGAAATAACGTGCTCAACTTTTTGGCTCAGCTCTGGTACTCTCTTCGGTCTCAAGCTAATCGATTCACTCCTCGAAACATAGGAAAATCCACTAACCCTTCATTTTATCTGCCACGCAGAAAAATTTACCGTCGAAACAAAAATATTTGAGGTAAATTTAAACGTAAACTCAGTTTGTTCTGGCCACAAACATAAACTAGGTTGATTTCAAACGTATTCTATGTTTGAATTCATTGATAATAATGTTTAAAACAAAAATAATGTTACGTTTATTTTAAAAATATTCGTGTTGAAAATAAACGTGAATATTTTTGATTTATTTGAAAACTATATGCGATCAAAAATTAATATGTTTATTTTAAACATGCTTTTCATGTTTAAAATAAACAAACATATTTTGAAATTATTTGGCATTTGAATGCTGAATAAATCAAAATAAAATTGATAGCAAATAAATAGAAATTTCTGCTATTATGGAAAGTCTGTGGATGTTTGGATCCGGGGGGCCGTCGGGGTGGGTGTCCGATCAGATCCAGTTCAGTAAAACCGGTGAAACTTTGTGATATTAGCGTCATTTTTCGTTTCTGACGCTGGTCCTCATACCGGCCTCTTTCTAAGTTTAGTGTTCGGGGATGATCTGCTTTTCTTTCGACGTCGGGTGGGGGGTGAGGATGATATGGGGATCAGTATCAGAAACGACGGATTGACGTTAATATTGTGATGTTCCACCGGTTTTGTCGAGCTTGGAGCACTTGCTTGCGTTGGTTTCCGGACCCTCTACTTTGGTTTCGCCGCTTGCAGGCCGTTTTCGGTTAAGTTTGCCGAATGTAAACAAGAAGGAAAAAAGGACACGCTAAAAATTGATTACCCAGATTATGTATTGTTGAAATAAACATGCTTTTGAATTTAATTTAAACATACATATTTTTGTTGAAAACATGTTTTTAATTTACTTTGAACTATTCATATTTTTATTTAATAAACATATATATTTTTAACTTAAATGAAGAAAATTTGGTTCCGTGATGTAAAACTTATTCATAGCGAATCAAAACAAACATTGCGTAGTACTAGAATTTCTACTAGAAAAGGGTACGTTAATCTTTTGCTTGGGACCAATAGCCCTAATAAAAAATTACCATAAACGAACGATAATCCAAATCATTGAACTATTCCACAAATGGTTTGGATGATACCTTGAACACGTCGTTAAGCAAATTAACCATAACATTTTTATTAGGGAGGCTAGTCAAGTAGTGAGCCAATTAATAATCGTTAGTTTCGTATTGATTGTTGCTAGCACCATACACAGCAAATAAAAATTTAATATCGATCAATGTAATTCAAGCTGATGTATGAAATAATGATGTAATAGCAAAAATCAGATACAATATTACATCAATGGATGTAATTTTGTTCGCAAAATCGATGTACATTGTACAACGTTATATTACACAACCGATGAATTGACCTGCTTGCAGCAGTTTGGATGTAATATTCAACAACTTTTTTTCTGTGTAGTTGAGAATACTATTTTATTATCAATATAACCATGCTTATTACTGTTAAATCTACTACACACAAAGAACGAAAATTGTTCCTATAAAAATAATGAAACTTCAATTTAAAAGTTTCTTAATTTTTTTTGTTTTAACAACGAAAATATTCAAAATGAAAATATTGTTTTTGGATTAAAGGTATTTCTTTCAATTTCAACTTGTAATTTCATAAGATGAATTTTTTTAAATAAAAGTCGCAGATCTTTCAAAACTTCCTCGTCATTGCGATTTTGGCATCACTTGACCTTCGTTTGCCGCCAAATTTGAAAGCGTGATAAATAAACCATATTATTGTATCTTCTACGTTTCCACATTACTCTTCCGTCGGTATCTCTTTCGAACAGGAATCGGTTCCAAAAAAGTGGTACGCCATCGCTTATTCATTTTTATCGGATTGCAGGTAATCGTCTAAGCAGCCAACGGAGGAAAGCAATCTTAGATGAAACTTAAACTATATAATAACATGGAGGCAATGGTGATGCTCTCGAGCAAAAGAAACATTTCAAGTGCCGGAATTGATGGTAAGTTACGGAAATTTTCAATGAAATTTCGATTCCAGACCGAGTCCGTCAGGAGCTAATTATTCCAGCTTTGATCAACAATCTGTAAAATAATACGAATTATACTGTAAAAGCATCGGGAGCGTCACTTCTGCTTCTTTGAAATGGAAAATATAATTATTATTAAAAATAAATAAGAATGTAAGGCATTTCCCTGGGTATTTCTTTAAAAAAAGGTAATTGATTTAAAAATAATTCTCATTTAAGATAAAAACGAATGTTATTGCGATTAAAATGCTTATCATTTGTATTAAAATTTGTTATACGTCAAGTTACAAACTATAGGTTTTCAGTTTGAAAGTTCTACAATTCGATTTGAAAGTTTTAACTTTTAAAAGTTGAAAGAGAGCTACATTTAAATTGACAGTTAGGGGACTTTAGTTTTGAATACTAATTACTTTCTACCAAAAAGAAACAAACGCTAACTTTTAATTTTACCAATGGTTTTTTTTTTAATTTATTAACGATTATTTTGTGTGTATATGAATTCAATATAGTTGACTAGGGATGGTCCATTAATCATGTCACGCAAATTTGGCCCATTTTCAAGCCCCCCTCCCCCCTTTGTCTTTTTTTTGTATGGACCTTAATGTTTTTGTATGGCTCCCCGCATAAACAATAACCATAAGAAGCGCCTAACCACCAATTCGAGATATCATCCCAACTTTATGTGGGATCGTCGTACCATCTATGATATCGTTAGAGTATGGTACCCGTTTATTAGGGTCGTCACAGTTTTTAAAACCCCCTCCCTCCTAAATGTGTGACATAATTAATGGACGACCCCCTATGAATTTAAATAAATTTACTATGATTCTGGCAAAACTACTATGCATACTCAAAATGCATAGTAATTTTGATAGAAATAATAGTAAAATTAAATGATTTGGTTTTCTGCAAAAATCTATTGGTGAGAGCGAGGGTGAGGGTATTTAATTGGGTTCTTTATTTTTGAAAAATATATCGGTTTTTATATATCATCTGAAAGAGATTCGTTTTCTGAGCACAGCGATATTTTTTTCAAACCCACACACTTTCATCTCGATTTTTAAATCAAGATTTAAAGTAAAATAATAACTTCACTATTTGACACTAAACTGACGAACTGACAGCTTGCTCCCATACAAAGTGACACCGAGGGGCGCTAATAAGGTGATTTTTGCAAATGTAATAGTACTTATTTTAAATAGTTCCAGTGTACCAAAATTGATGAAATTTTGGGTTCGGGTTCCATTTTTAATGCAGATTACGAATATGCATTAACCTCAATACCCTTAAAGAACCCAAATTGAACCAGCAATAAAGTATTGCCAATGGATTTTGTTTCAGTGTTTTATCAACATTCGGCTTCACCATTCCTTCCCCTTCGAAATCGAAATGGATTCGGTACCGTCCGTCAGGTCGAATGCCGAACCGTTTTCCACTTTGACAGCTCGCACTGTCATTGCGTGCGTTTTCGATGTCGGAATAAACCTGCCTCCCCTATGCAAAAGTAGTCCGAACGATTTTGTCGTCGCGGAACCGTGCGTGTTGTGTGTTTCTCATCGGTCGTTCGTTCGTAGCGTAGAATCGCAGTAGAAAATTTCGCTGCGAAATTTGTACAACTTTTTAGTTTCGATTATTTGCGTCTGATTGCAGTTCGGGTTATACGGATCGTTCCGCTGATCGTTTCCCCAGCAGGTTAGTGTCGAGTATCATTCAATTCCGTAGTTTAAAGTGGCCAAATTCGGTGCAGTGAACATCCTACATTCTGCTGGCGTTGAATATTACTTTCCCAATCATCCATTTTCGAAACGAGGGGAGACATCTTTTTCCCTTCCTGCTGGCTGCAGCCGCTCTCCCATCCGCCCTTCCGTCACCGTGTGCTTTGAGTTTTTCGTGGCAGCAGTGTGTAGGAACAAAAAGAGCATTACAGCACCGCGAAGAAACGGGTTCGGGAATCCTCCGTCCGTGTGAGTCTTTTGGAATTCAGGATCCGGAAGTGCTCGAGTAGAGAAGAAGCAGCATCGGTAATGAACCCATCTTCACATCAATGCTTGAGAGAAAAATCATAATTTCATATTGATTCGTGATATTGATTTCGTACGGTGAAGAATAATAATCTCAAAAGAAGAAGAAGATAGTGATCTCGGCCAGAGAAAGGAGAAGACGTGTGATACAGACGGAAATCAATCTGAAACAAGCTTTCCCCTTTTCAATCTAACAGGATTTAGTATCTAAAGTTCGAGATTGCTGCCACTTCTTCCACCTGAGGAAGCTAGCCGCATTGGAATGGAACACCATAGTAGTGGCACTGGAGGCTGGCAGAATCGACCGGAAGCGAGTCTGAATCCGCTGAGGACTCCCAAAGGTAAGTGTCAAAGTTTATCGAAAGTTATCACTGATAGTCAGCTATGGTGCCTACTTCTTATTCCACTGAATCTATCCGGCAAAAATCACATTAAACAGCGATTCGTTAGACGGTGGAAGTTGGAGAGAGAGAGAGAGAGGTTAGAAAAAATGGAGTTGCTGTTCTGGAATATTGGTTGGTGGCACTGGTGCCATGCCAGTGCAGAGCTCTGCAAGGGGGAGATTAAACAAAGAAAAATAGATACATAGGAACGCGAGAAACAGGTTTTCGACTAGGTAACATTCATGGAACAGAGTGGACTGCCTTAGTTGTGTGCTTTTTTAACATTTCTAAACAGAGAGATTGCTCTCCAGCAGCGAGCTTTCGATCGTTGTTGATAAGGAATCCCGTTAGAGCAGCATTATTTTCTCATTTACGGAAAGTTTTTTTTATTTGTTAGCTTTGTTAGTCCTATTTCCCTTCCCAACATGACAGCATGACGGACGGTCAATGTGCATCTTTGGCACATACGTAATGATGCGCAAATGCTCTAAAAATGCGATGACGTACGTAGGTCTTGTGTGACGACAATAAAATTGCCGAATTTCGTACTCTGGGTCTGCATAGCTAATTGAGATAAATAAATAAATATTACAAAAATTTCATTTCGCAATTTACTATCCATTAATGTTGAATAGCTACTGATTGACCTAGTCTGAAATCAACTGAGTTTCAATTTAAATTTGCATGTTGTCAGAAGTGCTTTAGTAAACAATGACTTCAACCACCAATTTTGTTACTCGCCCACACAAGCTATTGAAATCATTAAAAGCTCTCATAAAATCTCCCGAAAATCCATATTAAAAATGTTTCAATAGTTCTCAGAACGTATTTGAGTGTTCGAAACCTCCAAATCTCTAAAAACTTTAAAACATCTCAGAACTTCCACGAACTATCTATTCCCTGAACAACAATTAAAATGTAGGTACTTGTCCGGAGCTCGTTGACCTTCTCCTAAGCTGTCCGAACATCTTAAAAGTCTGCAGTTTGCAGATCCTCTCTTAAGAACGTTTGAGATCTTAAAAGTTTGTTGAACCTATCTGTAGTTCGTGGAACCTCTCCATGCTCCACATCTTTTCATATGATCTCTAGTCCTCTCAGAAGTTCTCTGCGAAGTTTAGAGAACTTCAGAGAAGGTTTATGATTTAAGGGGAATTTTAAAGAAAACTCAAGCGAATTTGAAATAGAACTATGGAAGTAAAATTCAGTGAATTCGTAGAAAAAAAATCTGTAATCTTCGAAGAGAATCTAAAAATGAATGTCATGATTATTTTTTTCGAGTGTTTTGCAGTGAACTTCTGGACTGTTATTAAGAAATGTTCAATGGACTCAAAGGGAGAATCATAAATCAACTGCAAAATAAAAAATCGCAACTTTCTGGATACAGGGTTCGCCATAGAGCTGCGCCAGCTCGTGGTTCATCCTTCGCCTCCATACACCGTTCTCACATACCCCGCCAAAGATGGTCCTAAGCACTCGTCGTTCGAAAACACCCTGTGCTTCCAGGTCTTCCTCGAGCATCGCCCACGTCTCGTGCCCGTAAAGAACACCAGTCTTATCAGTGTCTTATACATGGTACATTTAGTACGGAGGTGAAGTTTACCCGACCTCAGGGTCTTGTGGAGTCCGTAGTAAGCACCACGACTTCCGGCAATAACACGCCGACGAATTTCTCTGCTGCAGTTGTTATCCGACGTCACCAATGATCCGAGGTACACAAATTCATTCACCACCTCATCTCCGTCGCTTGTCACGCTTCTGCCTATGCGAGTCCTATTCCGCTCGGTTCATGTAGCTAACAGATACTTTGTCTTCGACGTATTCACCTTTAATCCAAACTTCTCTGCTTCACGTTTCAGCCTGGTGTACTGCTCCGCCACGGCCTGAAACGTTCTTCCGACAATGGCCACGTCGTCAGCGAAGCAGATGAACTGGCTGAACTTATTGAAGATCGTGCCCCGCATGTTAAAGCCCGCACGTTTCATAACACCTTCTACCGCAATGTTGAACATGAGGCAGGAAAGACCAAAAGCCTTGTCGAAGTCCTTTTCGAGTTTCAAACGAGTCCGATAACGCACCCGATATCTTCACGCAGCACTGTACACCATTCATCGTAGCCCCTGAACAGTCTGGTCAGCTTCCCGGGAAAACCGTTCTCGTCCATAATCTTCCATAGCTCTTCACGGTCAATAGTATCATAAGCGGCCTTGAAATCGATGAATAGGTGGTGCGTAGGGACTTGATATTCACGACACTTTTGGAGGATCTGCCGCAACGTAAAGATTTGGTCCTGTCGATCGCCCGTCCACAAAACCGGCTTGATAACTTCCCACAAATCTGCTTGCTAGCGGCCATAAACGGCGAAAGATGATCTGGGAAAGCACTTTGTAGGCCGCGTTAAGAATTGTGGTCGCTCGATAGTTCTCACATTCTAGTGTGTCGCCTTTTTTTATATACTGGGCATATTACTCCCTTTCCACTCCTCCGGTAGCTGTTCTGTATCCCTGATCCTGACTATCAGTCGGTGCAGATGCAGACAAGTGGCCAACTTATCCGGGCCCATTTTCATAAGTTCCGCTCCGATACCATCTTTCCCAGCTGCTTTGTTCATTTCGGTTCGCGGCACTAAGCCTTGGCGGGATGCGTTGAGTTTTTTGTAGAACTTGCGTGTTTCTTGAGAACGATACAGCTGCTCCATTTCTTCGCACTCCAGCTCTTCCAGGTGGCGCTTCTTATCCCGGAAAAGATGGGATTGCTGTCTTCGCTTCTGTTCATATCGCTCCACATTATGACGGGTTTCTTGCTGCAGCATCGCCGCCCGCGCTGTGTTCTTCTCGTCCAAAACCGTCTGACACTCTTCGTCGAACTAATCGGCGCCTTCAGCAGCGCTTTTAATGGCTGCTTTCACATTGATCCGGCAGTCCTTAAGAGGAGCTTTGGTGAGCTCTCCCTCATCCGGCAACGCTGCGTCGAGGCATTGCACGTACTCAGTTGCGACTTCGGGCAGCTTCAGTCGCTCCAGATTGTACCGTGGCGGGTGTCGGTACCGAATGTTGTTGGCAACGGAAAGTTTTTGGCGCACCTTGACCATTAGAAGGTAGTGGTCCGAATCGATATTTGCACCGCGATAGGTCCTGACATCGATAATGTACGAGAAATGCCTTCCGTCGATCAAAACGTGGTCGATTTGCGATTCTGTCTGCTGCGGTGATCTCCAGGTGTACCGATATGGGAGGCTATGCTGGAAGTAGGTACTACGTACGGCCATGTTCTTAGAGGCGGCGAAATCGATGAGTCTAAGGCCGCTGGCGTTCGTTAGCTGGTTAGCGCTGAACTTTCCTATAACCGGTCTGAATTCCTCCTCCTGGCCGACCTTATTGGACCTATCGATTGGCCACCACCCAATCACGCGCTTCTGCATTTCGCCCATCACGATGATAGCTGTACCCAGCTCATGTGTATTGTCGCAGCTCTGGTAGATGGTTTGACCATCCCTATTCGTATGTATCGAAGATCCCTTCCAGCAAACCTTCTGCAGTGCTACAATGTCGAACTTGCGGACCCTCAATAAATCGGAAGGAATGCGGGTACTTCCCAAGAAATTGAGAAACTTGCAGTTCCATGTTCCGTGTTTCCAATCGTTAGTCCATTTCCGTTGCTTGGGTCTATGCCGATTGTTCCGGTCCGTATTTACATTGCTTACTTCCTGTACTTTTGTTTTTTTACGACTGGCTTGTAGGCCCTGCACCAACCCCCATTTTTTCGCCGGGGAACCATCGTGCACAGCACTGTTTAGAGTCCCACGCTGGCACCAGGACGTTGATCAGCCGCTTCTAACAAGGAGAACAGACGCCGTTTTGAGCGCACCTCCATGGTGAACAGACGCTCGAAGACTGCACTCTCCGGCATACGACCAAGATCCCACCGGGGTTGGTTACCCGATCTTCCCTATGGTTACTCGTACACCAGCCGGCACCGCGGGGGGGGGGGGGGGGGAGGAGTTACTGGACAAGAGGCTAAGGACCGCTAGTGGAGTCTATTTTATACCTGCAGATACGCGAAGTATCAATGGTATGCATTGTCCAGCATTGTAAATCAAAAAGTGTTCCTTAGAGAATTTCTAAAGTATTATGAAGCACATTATAAGGGAATATCTAAGATGAACTCTGAGTAAATTTTTAGTTGATTCTAAGGAAATTTGTGAGACAATTCTAAAAAAATCCTGTACATAGTTCCAAGGATTCAAACAAGACATTGAAAAAAAATCCGGTGAATCGAAGTAAGTAATACAAACTATCGATTCCTTGAACTAGATTTTTTTTTATATGAAATACAGGGCTGGTAGCGACTTTTTTCAAGCCAGTCACTAAAAAGTCTCCTTATTTAAGGTCAAGTCACCAAAGTCACTTTTTTTGACGAGTCACTATTTTCAACTTTTTTTAGCGTGAATTTATTTCAAAATTGATCATTCTTTGCTTTGTGGCGTTTAATCGTCTCTCTCTCTCTATCTACAGGGTGTCTACTCATTTTTATGAGTTTCCAAGGTTTTTCCAGAACTTTAACGAATCAATTCCAGGTTTATGATAAGAAAGCTATTTTCAAAAAGCGCTCAAAATATGCTTTTTCTGGAAGATAGTAATTAACCAAAACGTTTTTAAGACATGACAATCAGTTTTAAAGAAACAACTTCATATTCAAATCCATTGATTTTACATCCATTGTACAAGTTGGAAATTTTCGAAGGAAAACATTAAATGATTTATTTCAAGTTCGTAATTAACTTTATTAAAGATTAGAGATCTTCATTGCAGTCCCATTATCTTCACAACAATTGTAGGAACTTTGAAGAAGTTCTGAGGAATGAAAAGAAATGCTGAAAATTTCAGTGAAGCTCCATAAACAAACTGCGGGAACATACGGGAAGTTAACACACTGAAATTTAAGAACCTCAAATCAGTTCT